AGTAAAGCGAGCCGGGTGTATTCGGCGGTGTCATATTCGCTGATTACAGTGAAACATTTATTGCAATGAATTTTCAGCACGTCGAATTACGCTCTGTGAAAGCTGAGCGTTAAATATCTCGTTACCGCGGCGCACCGGCTCCAAACGGCGGAAAATTTTATAAAACGCGCCACTCTGCAGCCGTGCCCGCCGCTTTTCCCTGCACTTTACGTTCGAACCGGCGCATTCCGCGTCCCCGTCGCCGTGAAACCGTTCCAAGAACGAAACCCTGAACGCGGGAAGCACACTGATTCGGTGAAACGCAAGGTAAATGAAGTTTCCCCGGCGCGGCGAGACAATGCGTTTCTAGATGCGATTCGAAATAAGTGCTCCTCCGCGGATTTAGCGAGTGTTTCCCTTGCAATCGTGCATCCCGCCGTGAACGGAATTAAGATACATTCGAGCCACGTGTCCGAGACGGATTGTATCATTATGCAAATAGCACGACCATTGAGCAATGACTTTCATGAATAAGCAATATTCGTTCCCACCGTCTGAAAGGAGAACCGAAAGAAACGTACTCGATGTTTCTATACGAATCAGACTTCATTAATTAATTACCGATCACCGGTTACTAACTATCAATTACCAAAATCGAGGCAACTCTAACTATTCGAAACTCCGAATTTCACGGTATTAACACTAGGTTTACGGAACGCGTGAAATTGACGCATACTGGATTTTAGAAGTATCATTTTGTAAATGTTTACCCCAATTACCTACTATCAAATCTCCAGTTTCCACGATCTAAATAGACGAGCATCTTTTAGGAATAATAGAACGAAGTGTACAATAAATGCCCGTAAATCTAGTGTTAATTCCAGTCACTCTATACCACCCACTTCATCTCTTCCTTTCACGAGTGAATGACAATCCGCCGAGAAGATCTCTAAAAATCTTCCAAGCTACAGGGTCGCGTGCTCAAATTTCGATTATAATATATTCGGGCTGAGTCACCCAGGGACTTCGTATCTCGAATAAGCAGCCGGTGGTACTTACTGCGCGTCCTTCGTTGGCTGTCCTTGCTCACAGAGATGTTGTCCGAGAAAGGCAGGGTCTGCGCGAATATGGACCTGTGGGAGCCGAACTTGAACAGCCGGCAGGGCATCAGGGGCATGGAGATCGACGTGTGCTGCCCGTCCGGTCCCTCGGGGTCGAAAGTTGGGCCCGAGGTCGGAGCCAGCGGCTGGAAGGGCCGCAGCGGCGAGCCGGATCTGCAGGACGCGGCGGAATACGGGATCCCGGAGAAGTCGAACGGCCAGCCGACGTGGTTAGGCGGCGCGATGGCGGTGTACGGCGGCGGATCGTCGTCGTTGCGCTCGGCGTTCACCGGCGCGATCGACGCACCGTTCATCCCTGCGCTCCCTTGATCGCGGCTCGCGTCGCTCTCCGGAGGTCCCGACGACTCGTCGTGCAGCAGCTTCGACGAGGGCAACATGTTTCTTGGGACGTCGAGCGAAGGGCTTTAACTGGTCGCGACGAAGCAGTTTGGGTGGCTCATTTTTTCTAGGATTTTAACCTTGATCCTCCTGTGGATGTTGCTGGTCATCTGGAAGTTGGAGATATTAGGTAAGATCGGTGGACTAACATTGTGTTTACGTTGAAAATTCACCGTGCACCGGCCGGTTGATTGAGCGCTTAACTGTGGAACTTGTAGAAATTTCTATTATACTCGTATAACCCAGGACAAACGCGTCTGTAATATATTCGAACGAGAAACTGAAGGAAAACGAAGAATGCATGTTTATCTGAAAATAGTTTATCATTGGGAGAATTAGTATCAATTTGATTATGTAGACGGTTCGCCCTTTTGCGTGTCGATACTTGGAGGCCTGAGAGATAGATAGAGATAGTTTTTATTTTAGTAGCCCTACAATTGGAACGATAGAGTATTTGGCGATCGGAAGTATTGTAATCGAGAGATCGGCAGTGGAATGATGGACAATTAGAAGTGAGGATTGGAAATATTTGTTGAGTGGCAGAGCAATTTGGGGTACTGCGAATGGAAAATTGGAAATGAGATCGACGGGAGAATGTTAGAATGTTAGGAAACATTGGAGATCGGAAATGGGTATGGTGATCGAGTGATCGGCAGTGAATTAATGTATTGCGGATTCGAAAGGAAACGTGTAACGCTGATATCTGGGTGTTCTTTTAATAGCTTCTCTTGATTGTGTTAAAACTTTGTCCTTCGCCTCGATTTGTAGGACTATAAGTGATTGTCTCTTATGAATACATTAGCAGATCATATATTGGTTTGGCGTTGGAGTAATCGGTATATTAATAATATATAAAAATCGGTACTAGCTATAGACAGGTCGAAATGACTCTGCATTTGCTGGCAGAAGGTTAATCGAGTCTCCAAATTATACGATGGAATATTCATGATTCTTTTAAGTGGCAATACATTGAGTAACGAGGAATAATTTTCAAATTACTTTACACGCATATGCAATCTGCGAGTCGGTTTTAATTATTCAGTGTAGATAAGTGCTCCGCGAGTTCAGGAAGGTTACATTGATCTAATAGCTCTCCGGAGTATGTACGCAAGGTAGTAGCCTTCATACATGAATTCACGAGATTCGCGTTTGTTCGAGGATTCCGAGTCTCTTGAAAACCAATGCTCGATAATAACGAGACGTGACATCCCGGTGTCCGACAGAATCGCGCGACCGTCAATTGTCAATAATACGTCAGCTTACGCAAGAAGAAAAGTCAACGTTAACCATTGCTTCACGGTTAACACAGAAATAACCGACATTGAGAGCTGCAAAAGGCCTTATCCTTCTTCCTGACACGACATGGTCACGCTCTCGGCGTCCGACACCATGAAAGCCGGCCGACCTCGGCTCTTAAATAGTGCACACTCTGGTCTAACATCTTTTTATGCCGATCGGCCGCGGCGGAACTGCCAAAACATCTGTCACGCGTTAAAAATACGTCGCGAATGACGCGCGCGAAACGGAAGAAACGAAGCTGAGAGAGAATCGCGCGATTCCGGTTTGAATGTCGCGTTTCGGCGAGGTCGAATTTCCGCGGATAACGAACACGCCGGAAAACACGATCGGAGTTCACCGGTTCGAGCGAGAGGAAAAGAAAAGGAAAACCGCGCGCGCGATTATTTCCGACCGTCTACGTCAGACGATGCGAACAAAGAAAGATTCCCGGCGCAGCAGGAATTTCGCGAACGCTGCCATTTTCGTAAGTCGGACCGGCAACGCATAACAACGAGCCAGCGCGCGGCCGCTCCATTTGCGATGCGGCGGTCGTGCGCCGATAACGCATCGATGCACTTATAATAACAGTCGATCGTTTCTTTAATTGTGCCCTATTTGCAAGTGAAATCGCGCGTGACAATGCCGCCGACCGAATCGGGAACGATATCAACGGGCATCCATTCGGATTCTGACGTGATTTCGGTCGAATCGGCGTGCGCGCGCGACTCGGCGGTAGCGGCTCTCGTTCGGATCGCTAAAAAGTACGCTCCGCCGATGAAACGGAACATTCGTATGCGGAATGCATCTGCAGCGCATTACTGAAATGCATCTCGTTAAAAGAGTCTAGCAAGAACTGGTAATTGTTCATTCAAACATTCAGTTATACATACTTGATGAACTGAAAGTGGACGGCCATAGAGGCTTATAAATATTCTAACGCCATGCACGAGGAATTCAATGGCAAACGCAATTGTACGTACTCGCGGAATCTTTCCTATGGGAATATGCATGTATTATGACCGTCGCTGTACAGGGCGATCCAAAAGAATCGACGCGAGACTAAACTTCCCTAGACAATTCCTTTCCTAAGTGACTTTGAACTAATATCTGATTAAATACCATGAATCCTCGATTCGTAAATTTCTATATCAGAAACTCTCCAGTTTAATGCTATCACCATCAATAATATACATCCTATACACACGAACAAACGCAAAACGAGAAATCAAAGTGGGTATCTAAAATTCCAAGAGAAGCCTTGAACTCGCCCACCCAGTACATGAGAACGGGACTCGGTGGATGCTGCGATCAGCTTCCATTTTAAGCAACGTTCGTAACGACGCAGGACCGAAACGCAGGAACCGATCCCGCCGGTCCGCGAGTGGAGTACGCTCGATCCGCGAGGACCGCGGAACACGGGCCTGACTCACTCTCTAGGTTCACGGTCGCGCGGGCGCGTTTCGTGTCGAAACGAGACCTGCGTTCCGATCTAGAGCTACACGGAGGATTTCATCTTTCTCCGGACTTACGTAATTGCTCTACGGGACGGTCCCCGGCTCACTGTCAAGGCCGCGGGCCGGCGTATCCGAAAGCGCGCGCGTCGGTCGCAGCGCGGAGACGACGAAGGCAATCACTTTCATCTCCGAAGGACGGCTCCTTCGATGCGCAATCGTCGTTTTCCTAGCCGGCTCAGCCTCGTAATTGGTGGCCGCTCGTAAAACACGACGAAATACGGACGGAGATGATTTTAAATAACAATGTAACGACGCCGAGCGACGGCGATCGCTCGTCCAGCCTGGGATCTTGCGCAACCGCGACGTCGATCAAACGATTTTCAGGACATCGTAAACAGCGTGACACGTTCTATTTGGAGAGCGGCGTGTCCGGAGGATTCTGCGACAAGCGACAGTTGCGTAATCGCGGAAAAAATTCGAGACGGGGAAACCGTACGGTAAACCGTGAAGTCGCCCGGCGATGATTCGGATCTTTCGATGGTTTTTGCAGCATCGTCGGAGCTCGTCGGACGGCAGACGACTTGCGCCGTGTACATTTCGTGCGACACAGTATTAGACAGGCATGCGGATGTTGGAAATAGCGTCCGGCGAACGTTTAAGCGAGTGAAACGCATTATCAGTGTCAGGCTTTTCATGTCGGTCACGTTCGATGCGTACTGCCGTCGTGGATTTCGACGCGTCCCGCCGCCGCGGGTTGGTCAATAGTTCCGAGCGGCACGGTAGCTTCAGATTCCGGACGAAAGAATTTCTCCGGCAATTACGAAAGTAGCGTCCGAACGCGAGTCTCCATCGCCACGGTTCACGTAAGATGGAATCGTAAATTGTCCGGTGCCGAGGGAATTTATTGCCCGTTTACGAAGATCTGAATGGCAATCGATCTCTCGGTTGGAAAAACAGGTGCTTTAGCATATGGAAATCGATTCGAATCGGTCCCCTTATTTGAAGGTATTAACATACGCGAGATCGTCGTAAATTATTCTATGAAAAAGTCGCTAAGAGGTTCCGACGGAAACGATCACGCCGCTACGTTTCTCGTTTGATCAGCGGAATACGATGTGAGCGCAACAATCTTCGCGAGAGAACCGGCGGGAATTATGAGTGGACGGGGTAAAGTGCAATGAGGCGAGGAAGTTTGTTTTCCGCAGTTAACGAGGCGCGATAGATTTTCACGGAGCCAGTTGGCACATTTGCGGGGAACTTTAAAACAGTTGCCTTTCAGCTCCGCGTTAAACGCTCCGGACAGGCTAACGAAAAGTTCCGACGCTCGCGCGCGTTCCAAGAAGCGTTAATCACGCATGCATTCTGGAAATTAGCGACTCCGAGTTGTTTGAATGCGCAACCGCTGTAATGGATATTTCCTGTCGAACACTTCTCCCCAGAGGATGAATCACCCGAAGCAAATAAGAAACACGTCGCAGCACACTTCGAACGAAAGCAAGATATTCTTCTAGTAAACAGGCCGCAGGAAATGCACTCGCAGCGCAAGTCATCAAAGAAACGTACACAGTGCCAGATTCAACGAGCGCAATCTCGCTTCATTCCCATTTTCCTTGCTCCATCATCGAGCGAAACGAGTCCCTTCGACATCGGTATCTCCGATCGCACCCCGGAAAACGGACAAACCCGCGTCAACCGCTGACACCCAGAAAACTGGGAAACCTCGGATACTCGTACAGTTACCCACACCCTTTACAAGCAAATCCACGTATGAAGTTGATTCACTCACTCGACAAACTTGTTGCACCAAGCTCCGAAGCGGCGGGTCCGGACAAACGGCGTCCGCGGAGTTACATGGAACTTTCGTAAACGTTCAAACCGCGCAACGGCGCCGTGCACTCCTGTATCGATCACTCATGAGTCACTCGCCGCCGCGAGGATCGACCCGACGATTCCCAAGGCGATCACTCACCGGTCCACTTTCCCCGAAACGAGCGTCCATCCGGAGTGGCTCGGAGACGGCGTACGGAACACCTGACGCCGCGCCGTTCACTTCGGCCGAGTCAGATCCGGCGGGCGGGTAACCGTTCCCGTAACAGACACATTTCGCAATCGCGGCCGGGTTAATCGGTGACGGGTTGCGATTCGGCTACCGAATCGAACGAGTGGAACGGACAGGCCGAAGTCGATCGGTGTTGCCCTCTTAATCACGAGCCGGTGACTAGCGGCGAGCCGGCGGAGGCCGCGGTGCGAGCACCTTTCCCGGCGTCCCACGCATTTCTCCGCGCGACGGAGCGCGACAGGTCAACGACGATCTCCTTTCGTACGCCGGGCACACGCAGCGAGCGGCGGAGAGGCTGGCCGGCGATGCCGCTGGAGGCTTGTCACGTGTAAACACGAGCGAAGAGACGCATCCGCGAGAGACGATCGCGACCGTGCCACGGTTCACCGTTGACAGCGTGCCGGGACTCGAGCGAGGCGATCGCACGGTCTACGCCTCGACCAATCGGCCGTCGCTAGCCACCACCGTCGCCGATCCGACGAGAATGTCGAGGACATCGAACGACCAAGGTCGCAGGCACATTGCCTCCTGCTCAGCGCGCTGACAAGTGGATCCAGTTCGTCGGCGTTTGCCTTTCCGTCGAGCACCTGGCCGATTTTGACTCTTTGGACTCGAACGGTGGGTTTCTTGGGGTTTGGTAGAGATACTGGAGCATTTTCTGGATACCTTGGTATCCTTAAACTTGGAATGTACTTGACGATTTGACGGTGGACGTTGGAGATGGCAGAGTTTAGTGTCCGAGATGCGAAGTTGTATTACTGAATTATGAGAATGAGAGAATAGATGTATGTATTTTTCATTAGTGTGTAGCAGTTTGATATGGATTGGAGGTTTCTGTGCTGAGGGTTCTGAATATTTTAAATCTCGCTCGCGAATGGTTGATGTAACCCTTTGCACTCGAGAGGTGACTCTCAATCACCACTTGATTTGACACAGTGAAACTATAGAATGTGATATTTAATATTAAACTTTGTGTCATCAATGTACGAAATATTGAAAGAAAATAGTTCCCTTCCTCGACGCATGTGAGATTTCTTAATTGAATCTTAGAAAATATCTGCATCTCATTAGAAAATATTGAATATTCCCGGTGAGAAACTTCTGGAGTGCAAAGGGTTAAAAGATACTTCCAAAATTTCATTTATTCAGTACAATGCCTCGATACGTGGAACATTGGAATAAAACAGCTTTGTTCCTCAATGTACTGGTGATTTCTCGAATTAGTCTCAAGGAACATCGTCTTCGCCCCGTAAAGAAACGTTAAATGTTTCTAGTAAGAAACATCCGAGTGCAAAGGGTTAACTGCTCGTCAGGAGCTTTGCTATATTCACTGTCGTTTGCGAGTAACACGAGGTTCGTAGATTAAGGAACGCTGGAGATGCAGATTGTTACAGGAAATGCATGATCATGATGTGTCCGATATCGAGGACGCGGAAAAGAACTGAAATGTAAACAACCGCGTTAACTGTACCCTGGTAACGTAAGTATTCCGAGGAATGGATTTGGAATCGGTGTAACTCTCCTCGCAGCTCGACACGACCGACTTCTCTTTAATACGGCGATCGGCTTGTTAACCCGTTCACGTGCAACCTTTCACTGCGAAATCGTAAGTGGTATGATGTGTGCAGTATTAATGATTCTATCGACGAACTATGCTTTACGATAAACATAAGCCCATTGCTTCGAATGCATAAATCTCCTGACGTAGGATTAAATGTAACGACAAATGTGCTGAATCGGCAAGAATCGCTACCGGATAATAAACACAATTATCCAGTTACATAAATTTTCTCGGGACTAATGAATAAGCTTAAGTACCGCCGTAGGTGAGGAATTAATTAGCAATATATGATACATATTTCCTTTTGACGCAAGAATGAAATGTTTATGAGTCTTCGCAATAATTACACCGTCACACGACGCACTTGCTCCGTGAACGTCTCAAACACGTACACACCGAGACAATGGCATTTATTCTCGAATGGTTCGTTAGCACAGACATTGATAAAACCGATGAACCGTTTCGACGTGTCAGCGCGAATACCCGAATTGCATAATACTCGAACAACGAAGTATCGGTCGTCTGATGAAAGAGTTAGGGCGATTGTTTAACAAACATCTGGCGCGAAAAATTTTCTTCGGCCGAAAGGATGAAGGACGCTTCGCTATTTACAAACATCTCCGCGAACGACTTCAGTGGGCTGAAATAATGACACGTAAACACCGGATGTTTATGCGAACCCGAGATATATTTATAAATTCATTCACAGAAGACTGGAGCAACGGGAGACTGTTTTAAAACACACTGTTCGCATAACGACCACGGCGTAAAGGAACGACGAGAACGTTGAAACGTTCACGCGAAGGAATAAAAGAAGTTTGAATTAAGAAACCGGTGAAATACATCTGAAAAAACCGTCTCCCGAGAAGACGATCGCCAGCGAATTTGCATACAAGAACCGTAGTAACGCAGTATAACGACCACAAACAAACGAGACACGCGACACACGCAATTCAATATTCCAATTTCCTGCAGTCCTCGAAATAGCACAACAATTATCTCGTAACAAACAAGTCCGACTCTGCGTCAGAAGAGTAATATTACCACTGAAACTATCAATCAATCAAATTTCCTTATGCCAATCTCTCCATAGAAACTCCGAAAGTGTATCTATCGAGATTTCGAGTGCAATTCGCGCGTACGAGTTTCTTCACTTCCCTGAGAATCATGTCTTATCGCATCGACTTGAAAAAAGTAAATCAGAAAGTCATCTATTTCCAGTGTTAACCATGCAAACAATAGTTTCCGCTGTGACAGTATACTCACGATGTCCAGTTTCAAATTCAGAGTCAGTCGCGGTCCACGTTACTCGTTCGAACGACGATTCATCATCATCGACACAACACTGCGCGAACAGCAGAATGTTGGGCACGAAACGCAACAAATTAGAAGCTCTCGCTAGCGAGTGGCGATGACGTGTTCGCGACGGCTGATTACCATGCAGCACGGTGTTGCTTGAGAAACAACAGATACGTCTCGCGCGAACCGTTTTAATTTTCCGCGCGGCCCGCCTCGGCTCGACGGGTCACATTTTTGCGTGGACTCGATCGCGCGTATCGTGTTCCGCATACGTCCACGAGCTCCTCGCGATTACGTGTGCGGCATACTTTCTGCGATGGGACCCGGTTTCGTGTGTACCGAGCGCCCGTTCCCTCGCCGCGACTGTGAGAAACTCTTGTTCGAGAAGTTTTTTCCCCGGCGCAACCTCATCGGCCGGTATTCTGATTAATACGGGGAACCCGTGGCCCTTGGCTCGGCCCCACTGACGCAAGCTGTGGAATCAACTGCACCGTTAGTCGAACCGCTCGCAGCCGATGCGGTTAAGTCCGGAAAATAACGGAAATTTAACCCTTAACAATTCTGTGTCGAGTCGGACTCGACGTTCTATTTTACTGCAACCTCTACTTGTTTTAACAATTTTTTCTATATTTATTTGTAGTATCACAATTGTATTTAAAGGTAACATTTCAATAACTCCGAAATATTCTTGAATAAATAAATAGAGCGTCATATTAAGCTGTAGCTGAATGAACGTCGACGTGAACTTCAAAGTGAGAAACCAAGAGCACTTCGGACCGCGAAGGGTTAACGTTTCGGTTTATCAAATTGTTGTACATATTCGGAAGCTATAAAGAAGGCTTCCCGCGTTAGAAGAAACGAATAAATTATTTAACCCTTTGAACTCTGTAGGCTCCAATATTCCTTGCTCCAGTATTGTTTCCTTATTTCAGTAAATACATATATTTATTCCTAATTCTCGATTATTGAAGATCCACCTTTTCAATATCTATAATAATAATAACTCCACCATAGATTCTACCGAATTCGAAGCTCGTCGGCGCGACGACGCTCGCGAAATCCGCGAAAACGCTGTCGGCGCCGCGCGAGAATCCCGCGTATCGTTGTTGTGGCCCGGAGATTTATATTCGTGGAAGTCGGACAGGCGCGTTCGCGGTCTGGTGAACGTTCCGCGATACGCGAAAGGTCAAAGTTGAACGGTTGCCGTTGCGACGATAATTCCGCCACGTCCTCCAGGCAGTTGTTACGCGGCGACAATGCGGAAACGCGGCCCTGTCTTCCCCGTGGCCGTGTCGCCGCGAGTTTTCTCCGGCACGAAGATGCACGGCGCCGCGGGGAGAAAAATTATGGGTTCCCATTGTGAGTGGGCGTCGCCGCGCGCTTTGCATCGAAGGAATGCCGGCGAAAGAAGATTATCTGGGTAACGCAGTGCACGTTCCGTTGGCTTGATTGTTTTAAATAGCGCGAGATACACTCGACGATGAACTTTGGCCAATTCTCACGTTCCCGTATGCGTGAGGCGTGCTGAAATTATAACGCGAATGATTCTTGTTTATTTTTTACTTAGTTTACTGTAAACATTCGTATAAGATATCGAAGCTTGAAGAAATTGAAAGAATATTAACCCTTAACACATTCAGCGCCGCCTCCGCGATAATGCGGGATCTTTAGTCTATCGTTTAATTGCTAATCCAACGTCCATATAACAGTTTAGATATGTATCACACAAGTCCAAAGTAAAATTTACAAAATCGAATTCCTTATTCTCTTCCGTAAGTTAGAAATTTTGGTTTAATCGATGTCTAAGAATGTATTAATGTAATCACCGACGCTCCCGTTTTTAGTAGCTGAAATTTAGCCGGCGTTCAACGCGTTAACAGGCCATAAGTGTTTCAAGTTATTTACCAAACAATACCGTAGCGTAGATAACGAGCGGAAATAAACTCACATAAGTGACCTAGCGCAATGTTTGACGTATTAATTGTAAATATAGCAATAATAACAGTGATAATCAAATGACTTTGCCATACGCGTTGGACCAGTAATTAAAGTGCCATTAGATGACGTGGTTCCGTTAAGATTTCATGTAATAACCAGTTGTACATTTGAAATGAATTATCAAACACTGGAAACACACTGTTAACCCTTTGCACTCGGAAGTTTTTCTACTAAAAATATTTGAATATTTTCCGATGAGACAAACACGATATTCTGTGAAACTAACTCGGCGAAAAAATACTCGTACATTGAGAAACAAAGCTATTTTATTTCAATATTTCTGAAATTGATGCATTATACGGAGTATAATATTAAATATCAAATTTTATAGTTTGCATCGAATCAAGTGGTGACCGAGAGTCTCTCGAGTGCAAAGGGTTAATTTCTATAAATTCTTCGGTAGCGGTCAATGGACGTACTACGGTGTAATCAACTTCTATCGCATGGAAGAGCCTCTGATCGCGACACTAAGACACTTGAAAATTCCGAGCGAGCGGGGCGAGCCGAGCGAAGCGTGTGCATTGAAAAGGAATCGTTTCAATAGTTTGAAAGGTGCAACGGCACCGTT